AAAAGCCTTCTTGGTGTGGGAGTGTAATGTATTTATTTCAGCATAATGCATTTGACTGTAGATGTATTCGGTTCAATCGTATTTATGCTTCATGAACGAATGAATAAGTGAACAATAAGTCATGTTTAGGGAGGGATTTAATATTGGTTGTATATTATTTTTAAACACGAGCATTAACATTTTGGTATAAATCATCAGGTGTTTTAATTTCCAAATAGTTGTAATTTGTAATAAAGTGTCATGGTCAGTTATTTCAGAGGAAACTGAACCCACTATATGATGTAAACTCACCGGCCACTTTATTAGGTACACCTGTCCAACTGCTCATTAACGTAAATTTCTAATCAGCCAATCACATGGCAGCAACTCAATGCATTTATTTTCTCTTTTTCAGACCATTCTCTGTAAACCCTAGAGATAGTTGTGCGTGAAAATCCCAGTAGATCAGCAGCTTCTGAAATACTCACACCAGCCTGTCTGGCACCAACAACCATGCCACGTTCAAAATCCCCTTTCTTTCCCATTCTGATGCTCGGTTTGAACTTCAGCAGATCGCCTTGACCATGTCCACATGCCTAAATGCATTGAGTTGCTGCCATGTGATTGGCCGATTAGAAATTTGCATTAACGAGCGATTGGACAGGTGTACCTAATAAAGTGGCCGGTCAGTGTACTGTCCCCTGTACTCTGTATGTGTTATCCCTTTATGTACACACTGTCTATGCCTCTTGCTGCCATGTGATTGGCTGATAAGAAATTTGCATTAACGAGCAATTGGACAGGTGTACCTAATAAAGTGGCCGGTCAGTGTACTGTCCCATGTACTCTGTATGTGTTATCCCTTTATGTACACACTGTCTATGCATCTTGCTGCCATGTGTTTGGCTGATTAAAAATTTGCATTAACGAGCGATTGGACAGGTGTACCTAATAAAGTGACCGGTCAGTGTACCGTCCCCTGTACTCTGTATGTGTTATCCCTTTATGTACACACTGTCTATGCCTCTTGCTGCCATGTGATTGGCTGATAAGAAATTTGCATTAACGAGCGATTGGACAGGTGTACCTAATAAAGTGGCCGGTCAGTGTACTGTCCCCTGTACTCTGTATGTTGTATCCCTTTATGTACACACTGTCTATGCCTCTATAGATAGTAATGGGATTTTCATTCTACCCACACAGGCTTCTACTATTCTCCATAATCTCCATCAGACTGTAATGAAGCTCTGCATGTAACTACTGCATCTTGCTGAATGACACAAAACTAGATTACAATTGAAACGGGGATAATTGAAACGCGTCTAGTTAGCAGTTAAGGTAAAACGTATGCCCTCTCTGTTATCCGAGTGTCAAGGTATGGGATGTATTTTCAATTAAACGCTGTGGATCGTGGCCAAAGTGTGATGTCGAACTGCTGGCCTGACACTTGTCGGAGGTGGAAGATTGATGGCGGCACTTTGAACATTTCAGATGGGGCTCAACCTCTGTTAAAAAGAGAGCGCTGAGGGAAATGTCACCAAATGAAAGTGGTCAGATCGGAAATCCTCAGTGGAGCAACACCAACATCGATCTGACAAAATCAGGAAAACAGGAGTGGGTGTAGAAAAAGCCAAAAACAAACATGAGGGATTAAACCGAGGCTCAAATAATAATGCTTTTACAGCCATAAACACTGAGCCAGGGACAGCATTACAGCTCTGTTCCAGGACTAAAAAGCTAAAGGTCTGGTCAACACTGCAGCTTATTGAGGACCAGACCAGCTGACTAATATATAAAGTGACATGCAGAGCATTTTTAACCAGCTGTGTAGAAGAATGCGAGCATATTTACAAAAAGAGAAGTTATTTAAACAAGCGGATGATGCTGATAGGGCGATGTGGTGGCTCAGTGGCTTGCACTGTAGCCTAACAGCAAGAAGGTTGCTGGTTCAAGTCCCGACTGGGTCTTCACTTTCACCCACAGTCCAAACACATGCGCTATAGGTGAATTGAATAAACTAAACTGTGAGGCGACAGCAAAACTTACTGTGCCACTGCGTAGCCATACTTTTGATTATTGGTATTTTATTATTTTCACTAAATTTGTTAAATATTAAAAGTTAGATAGAAACAACGTTTGGAAATAACATTCTGTTAAATAAATGAATAAATAAATAAATAAATAAATAAATAAATAAATAAATAAATAGTTTTAAAAATAAAAGGGTGAAGCGGTAGCGCAGTGGGTAGCACGTTCACCTCACAGTAAGAAGGTCGCTGGTGCAAGCCTCGGCTGGGTCAGCTGGCATTTCTGTGTGGAGTTTGCATGTTCTCCCCGTGTCCAAACACATGTGGTATAGGTGAATTGGGTAAGCTAAAATTTACCATAGTGTGTGTGAATGAGCGTGTATGGGTGTTTCCCAGTACTGGGTTGCTGCTGGAAGGCCATCCGTTGAGTAAAACATATGCTGGATAAGTTGGCGGTTCATTCCGCTGTGGCGATCCCTGATTAGTAAAGGGAAAAAGCCAAAAAGAAAGTGAATGAATTAATTTAAATTATAAATACACATAATTTACATACATGCCTGCATAAATAAAATATAAATAAATCAATAGGCACAGCCTGCGCAATATCCTCATATTCCATCTGTAATGATGTTATAGTACAAAAAGTTTGTTTATAATACATCCTTAACCGCATATAAAGATATTCTGGAGGCTTAAGATCTCATAGGTTAGACACTGAGACAGACCTGCACTAAAAAGAACTGAAATCTGCCATCAACCTGTGTCGGTTTACAGAACTGATTTGTAAGAACCGTGGCGCCATCTAGTGGAGAACAACATGTACATACAACATTAGCTTTTTTTTTTTTTTAATACTCTTTAATTATAACAGTACTATGTTTCCAAACGGTGTATTTATTTTTAACTTTTAATAGTTATCAAATAAGTTAAAAATAATACAAATAATATACCATTATTCAAAACTATTTAGATTAATCTAAATGGCGCAGAGGGTAGCACGATCGCCCCACAGCAACAAAGTTGCTGGTTCGAGCCTAGACTGGGTCAGTTGGCATTTCTGTGTGGAGTTTGCATGTTCTCCCGGTGTTCGCCCGGGTTTTCCCCACAGTCCAAACACAAAGGTGGATTAAATAAGCGAAATTGTCCTAAGTGTGTTTGTGTGAATGAGTGTATATGGGTGTTTCCCAGTTATAGGTTGCAGCTGGAAGGGAAAAACATATGCTGGATAAGTTGTTGGTTCATTGCGCTGTGGCGACCTCTGGTTAATAAAGGAACAAAACCTAAAAGAAAATAAATGAATGAATAATCAAAATGAATTTAAAATACTTTTTTTCTACTATAATACAAGTTTTCATAATAAGTTTTTAAAATGTATACAAGTTGTTATGACTAAGATTAAAGTGTGGTGCGTAACGTGAAACTGAACACTAATACAAAGAATTATGTAACCAGATGACTTAAACTGCTATTAAGAAATAAAGTGTTCATTTAGATCGATTGAACTGATTCGGTGGAGAAGATAATCATTCATAAAGTTTTATGGTTTTTGAAGGAATTAAAGAGTATTCAGGTGCAGAAATTGAGAAATCAAATGTCAAATAACACTGCAAAAGTCTTTACTGTATAAACAATTCAAACTTATTCTTTATTAAAGTTACAAAAGGTAAAATGTCTGAACACTTTGAACGCTGTCAGGCCTTAAAAACACATGCAAATGAAAAACTCTTTTCAATTTGGTTAAACTACACAATTCTCATGTGGTTTCTCCTGGTTAATTTTAATCATACCTGTGATGTGACTCTTGTGGACGTGCAAATTGCGATATTGATGCTAAAATGGTATATTGTGCAGCCCTAATAGATAGACAGGAACAATCTAGCCATAGGGTGTCCGCGGGGTCTTAAAAAGTTTTAAAACATGTCTTAAAAAAATAATAAAAATAAATAAATAAATATATATATATATATATATATATATATATATATATATATATATATATATATATATATATATATATATAAGATTGTGTTGAATGCCTTAAATAATTGTAAACAGGTCTTAATTTTCCTCTGTCCAAGTAAAGCTACCCAGCTACCCAATCGGGTTGACATCCATCAGATCACCAACAATCCATCTTAATAAAATAAGGGGAAGGAATCTAAAAGCAATTGCACAGGTCCTTATGATAGTAACAGAGGAGTTTACCCCTTTACGTTATCTTCCATTCATACAAAAACTATTTACAGAAGTAATGGGGAGTAAATATAAAATTTATAAATAGACATGAAATGTGAGGTTTTATAACAGAATGCAATAATTTGAATAGAAGTTATACTCAATCAATTTAGACCAAAGCAACAACAAATACAGTTAAAGTCATAATTAGCCCCTATTGATTTTTTTTATTTTTAAACTATTTGCCAAATGATTTTTAACAGAGCAAGGAAATTTTCACAGTATGTCTGATAATTTTTTTTTCTTCTGGAGAAAGTCTTATTTGTTTTATTTTGGCTGGAATAAAAGCAGTTTTTCATTTTTTTAAAACTATTTTAAGGTGAAAATTATTAGCCCCTTTAAGCTATATTTTCGATTGCCTACAGAAAAACAACAACATCGTTTTACAATAACTTAATTATTATTTAGTTAAGCCTAATTACCCTAACCTGCCTAGTTAACCTAATAAACCTAGTTACGCCTTTAAGCTGTATAGAAAAATATCTAGTTTAATTTTATTTACAGACATCATGACGAAGATAAAATAAATCAGTTATTAGAAACTTTTATGTTTAGAAATGTGTTGAAAAAAATATTCTCTCCGTTAAACAGAAATTAGGGAATAAAAGAAATCGGGGCAAATTATTCAGGGGGAGTAATAATTTTGACTTCAACATATATATTTATTTATTTATTTGGAAGGAGAACTGTGCCCCAGTAGAGCTTTATGTCTAGCAACGCCACTGGCTGAGCGTATGTGTCTAGCTGACGTCCCATAGCCCCACCTCAGAGTGAAACCGAAAGCGTTCGTTGTGAGTGAAGAAACGCCATTTCGAAGGATTGAAGAACAAAAGTTTCCTTCGCGTGACACGGTAAGTTCGTTGTAAAGTTTCATAACTTGAATAACATACAGAGCATTTGCGTGTGATGTCGAACTCACAAACTTAGATTCAGCTTTTCCTGTTACTGTCGTGTTATTCGACGAAAGCTGTTAACTTAGCCTACTGTAAAATGGCTGACATGGTTTAACGTTGTACAATCATCTATAATCATCTTCATCATTATTATAATAATTATCATTAGTTGTAGAAGAATTGTTTGTATTCACAGTCACTCTTTTGTTACTTGACGTTTGGTCAGCTGCTTTGAGCCCAAACAGGCCCTGATTTTATTCATAGCATTATTCTTACCGAAATTGTTTTTCAATTCAATTCAGCTTTATTTGTATAGCGCTTTTACAATGTAAGTTAGATTGTGTCAAAGCAGCTTCACAGAAATGGTCATAGTAACTGGAACAGTGTAGTTCAGTATTTAGTGTTTAAGTTCATTTAAGTTTAGCTCAGTCCAGTGTGATTTAATCATTACTGAGAGTTCAAACACTGAAGAGCAAATTCATCAATTCGTAACGTTAGCTCTATTGTATTTAAATTTAGTCTGCTAACCATGTAAAAGGGGGATTAAAGGCTCTAAAAGGGACCCGATTATAAGCTTTAAGGCAAAGTTGGTTTTAAATTCGCACAATCGTTCAGTTTATAACAGTAATTACACGGTAACCGTATTGTTTACCACTCTTACTTTGGCAGTTGATCCAAGTGGTGCTCGCTGCAGAGCCATTTGAGGAGAGCTGAGCTCCAGCAAAGGGGGAGCTTAAGCTTGAGCTCCACCTTTTTTGGACTTCTTCTACGAGTGATGTCACTGGGGGATCTGACGAAATCTGTGACCCGTCGAAAACTGTGACCAGAGGGCGCTGTTCAGTAAAAATTTCACTCGGGAACGTGCTTGTCGCTCATGAAGCGAACGTGAACGCGCAGACACTGAAATAAAGCGATCAGCGTCGAGCGGTGCTGTAAAAAGGGTGTTTTAAATGCTGGGATTCAGAATACAGGTTCATGGAAGAAATTTTACGTAGTCCTGATATTTTGACCATCCAAATTCTTGTAAAGAAGAAATAAAAAAAAAAAAACGTATTCTGTCGCTGTTGTTGTCTCCTGATAGACTCGTATTTGTAGGTTTCGTTATGATATGCATTGACACATGACTGTAGATCTGCTTCACAGATTCTGAGGTAACATTCCATCTAAATATTCTACTGTATATGCCAGATTAACGTTTAATAATAATGTTTTAAAAAGTAGGGCAATCTTCTATTTGTATAACATTTTGACCAGATATTAGACTAATAGCCTATATTTTACAAACTGTCTGGAATCTGAAATCCAGCTATTGAAATGCCATCCCTCTTTTATTTGTGTGATTAATAAAATAAAAATGTTTATCTTAAGTATACAAATAAAACATCTCAATAAATTTGAATGTCATCGAAAAGTTGATTAATTTTACTATTTCATTTATTAAATAAACACTTGAAATATATGAATATGTGTGTAATAAATCTATATGATATACGAGATTCACATTTTGAATTTAATTAGTAAAATTAATCTTAGCTCAGATTTTTATTATGAATTAAATGAAAATTATTAAACATTATAATTAGGTTCATACAGGGATAACACACTTGTATGGCTATGAATCTTACCTGTATGACATGTAATTTGAACTCAGTAATTAGTATTTGTAATGAACAAACTATACGATTTTTTCAACTCAATCTCATAACTAAATGTTTAGTTTTACCAGTCCAGGAGACAACAACAACAACATATCAAGACTCTGTTAAAGTTCTTCCATGAACCTATTAAGAAATGTAATTTAATATTTATTATTTATTAGGAAATGAAAAAAATCATACTTTAATAATGATATTAATAATGTTAATGATGACGATGATTATTTATTATTATTAAGTAGGATATTGTTTATTTAAATTTTTGAAAAATCTACTTTTACAATTTGACATGCAAACCACTGCAGAAATGTTCTAACAAGCTGGTCCATGTCATATCCTGTACACTTAATAAATAACCTAGAAAATAAAAGCATTAACGCATGCTATGTTTTTTTGTTTTCAAATTGTGAAACTCATATATTAAATAGATTTATTACACACCGATTGATATATTTCAAGTGTATATATATATATATGAATTATATTGAAATGGTGAAATTCATCAACTTTTCGATGACATTCTAATTTATTGCGTTGTTTTATTTGTATATAGTCTGCTATTCAATGGAAATAAAATTCATAGCCATTGAAATATGTTAGGCTACACCATATGTTGACTGATTATAGTATTTAATAAAGGGATAAAGGTTATGTGTCAGTCCATTATCTTTCTCTTTTATAAAGCAATATTGACTTACTCATGTTTAGATACAGTTGATATGATCTTTAGGTCACTGAATCCGATGAGTAAAAACAGATACTTCACCCCAGAATGAAAGCTATCAGTTTTTCAATGTGATTTTTTATTAACTTTATATTCTTTGTTTTCAACTTTCATAAAGACAGTTGAACTTTACCTTTTGATAACAAATTTCTAACCTGTGACATTTATTTTATGTCTAGAAAAACTTAAAGCCACCTGAGGGAATATCAGTGTCATTAACTTGTTACTTATACCAGTTGCTGACATGTAAACATTAATGCAAATTGTAGGGTGCAGGATTTCTGTAATGTCTAATCGCTAATTTTGATCTGTTGTTTCTCAAAAATATCAAACATGCATCCTTAGAGAAAAAGAGAAATAGAAATTCTGTAGGCATATATTTTATCTGTCAGAGTCAATGACCTTTATAAAGATTTCAAAATCAGATCATATGGAGGAGCGTTATGAGTCATTTTAATAAACATTATCATTCATATGAAAATAAGAAGGGCCTATAGCTATATATTTCAGCATTTGTAAATAAATATCTGGTCAATATGCTTTAGATACATAAGATATGATAAATTTATTTTATTAAACATAATCACACAAGTAAAAGATGGATGGCATTTCTATAGCTGAATTTCCAACACAGTTTATAAAATATATATTAGTCTAATATCTGGTCAAAATGTTATACAAATAAAAAGAAGATTGCCTGACTGTGTTAAATTTAAACATTGCAATCTGGCATATATTTAGATGGCTATGAATGTTACCTCAGAATCTGTGAAGCAGATCTACAGTCATGTGTCAATGCATAAACTATATCTTAACGAAACCTACAAATACGAGTCTATCAGGAGACAACAACAGCGACAGAATAAGTTTTTTTTATTTCTTCTTTACAAGAATTTGGATGGTCAAAATATCAGGACTACGTAAAATTTCTTCCATGAACCTGTATTCTGAATCCCAGCATTTAAAACACCCTTTACAGCACCGCTCGACGCTGATTTCTTGATTTTTTTTTTTTCTTGACAAGCACGTTCCCGAGTGAAATTTTTACTGAACAGCGCCCTCTGGTCACAGTTTTCGACGGGTCACAGATTTCGGCACAACACCGGTCTGACATCACACGCAAGTTGGCCTATGACTTCAAAACAACAACACTGTTTAATTTACTGTGAAAAATGTACTTTCATAGTCATTTTTCTATTTACAATGTGCAAAGAAGAATACTTCTCTGAAATTAAGAAAGCCTGAATGTGTAATTATAAAACCAACTTATCTTAAGATTATAAGCAGTGTTTAGAAATAAACAAATATGTAAAACTCACAGCATACACAGAGATGGTGTTTGTGTTTTTTATTTATTATTTTTACCTGAGTTGTCCTGAGATGCTGAAACACTGTATAGTTCCATATGGTGCACGCATGTAAATAATCTTGTACCTCTCTCCTGAAGACACACAGCATACACACATAGTTTTTGGATATATTATATTTGTCATTTATTTCAGAAATATCACAGCTTAAAATATTACAGCCTCTTTTGTGGCATAGAATTTAAATAATAATAATAACAATAATAATAAAATAATAATAATAAATTGTATTTAAAATATTGCAGTGCTAAAGAGATTAGCACATGTATGTTACATAAAAGTGTCAAAGTATTACAAATATTTTGAATATAATGCAAAATGTAATCTGATAATAATAAATGTCAGATTTTTTAACCTTTTTTTTATAAATAGAATCGTGAGAAAACCACGATTTTTATTCTGTATGATCCTTCAATCATGATTCTCTCTTTATCCAGATTTGTTTGTTGTAACAAAATATCATGTATATTGTGTGTTTCTGTCTCCACATACAGGCCTGAAATCAAGTCTCTAATGTGATAGGAGGAGAAATAGAAAAGCCAATGAAAGTAGTCATTAAGGATGGAAAGGAAAGCTAAACATCCATGTGAAATGAGTGTGTTTGAAGAGAGAGAGAGGGAGGCTTTCATTCAGACTGTGAGAGCAGTTTCTCCATTATCTAGCTGTGTGTCTATGATGTGTAACCACTCCATTGGTCTCCCCCCTGATCGCAGTGATGGAGCTGTTAGCTCTGACTTTGTGTGAGTATCATGGAGTTACTCAACTATCTGCTTTAATGAAATCTAGATATGACATTATTTAAAATGGTGCATTTTTAACAGTGTTTATTCTCTTAATGAGTTCTAAGTGTGTTTTGAGCCTAGCATGTATTAAATCAAACAGAGTTTCATCTCCCATTCCCTTTAAAGGGGGTCACACACCAGAAGCAATGCTCGGCGCCGCGCCACATAGCACCATGCATTTCAGAATTTTAAACATGGGGGAGAACCCCACACAGAAATGCCAACTGACCCAATTGAGGCTCAAACCAGCAACCTTCTTGCTGTGAGGCGAACATGCTATCCACTGCGCCATCGCGTCACCTCTTGTTTTTATTAAAAGGAGGAGAGAGGGAGAGGGAGGGAGAGAGGGAGGGAGAGAGGGAGGGGGAGAGGGAGGGGGAGAGGGAGAGGTGACGTGACGTGACAAGTCGCGCTTCAAAGTGTCCTGCAGTTTGGCAGTTTCGACTGAACAGAAGGGAGACGTGGTTAATAAGAACGAAAGGTCTGCATCAGAGCTGAAGATCTTTGCCCGATCCCGGGGACGGCGAGACCCGAAAAAATCAAAATCCCTGCATTAAAATCCATCCCTGCAAAGGTGAATCAAATGATGATGAAGTAGTAAAAAAAAGCGAATTTTGACGTCGGTCAAGCCAGTCACTAGCTCAGAAGGAGCGGTTATTCCAGCCGCAGGTATTTCGCGGTCGCTCATACACTGCGTTTTACGGTAGAGCCCTAAACCGCAAGCTGACAGGTAAAAAGACAAGGCCATTCGCTAAAGTGAAACTGCCATGGAAAATTAAATGGATGTTCCTGACTGGTAGAAGATGAACAAACAATCCTACCCAAAACTTGCAAAATTAGCCAGATCAGAACTCTGCATCTCGACCTGTAGCCGCAGGAAAGGGTGTTTAGCTGCTGGACGCACCATGAGCGCAGGACTGCACTAAAGGCAGTGGATTTAATAATGTTCCTCCACAAACACACATAGCCTAATCTTGGTGAGTAAAGGGTTTTTAAATTATAAATAAATATTAATTAAACCATATAATCATAATTTAGACAGAGTATACAGACTAATGGTGGCATTATTCTTTTATTATTCAGCTTCATGGCCGCCCTAATGCCAGATTGTGAAGAGAAGTGGTGAAACAAATCTTGCAGAGCCTTTATCTTAATTTTGTTATTGCCAAAATACCCGTCATCATTTAGAGTTTATTTTAATTTGATTTGTTAAGCACAATTTCTTTTCATTGGTGTGTTGGCCAATTTAAAGGCTAAGTGTTAGAGTGCTAAGATGTTACGATGTTACAGAGGACTTATTTTATTTCTTTGTTCCAACTTCCAAGTGGCATATAGTCTACGTTTGTTACGAATAAATGATGTTAAAACATATAAATGACTCATTCTTGAAAATATGCATTAGAGCTGTGTGCATGAGCACACTTGAATAATGTCGGGCTGTAAACAGGTTTGGGCTTTATAAAGCTGTCAATCAAAATGTACCTGTCGGACTCGGGACCTATCGGGCCTAATTTTTATTGCCCGATTACAGCTCTGCATTCCCGCTGCTGTTCCGTGGGAGCCGGCCAGATTTCTTACGGTGTGGGAGTAAATTTCTGAATAAATCGCAGGAGAGATGTGTATGAGTGTTTGTGAGAGAGAGAGAGAGAGAGAGCTGCTGTGCGTCGCTTGGCGCTCTCTCTCTCTCCTCTCTGACCGCGAGCATAAGGTCTCATAGAATGTATTCATTTTCTGAATGGTTTAGGCTCAAGCCAACAGTTTGGTGACGCTGTCTGAGCCTTACGTCATAATTTTTTTTATTAAACCGGTAATACCAGATACGGGGGTAAAATATGGAGGCGGTTTGACGGTATCAAAAATTGGTTACCGCCCAAGCCTAGTACATCATGTGTGTTAAAAGCAATGTGTGAGCATTTAAGACCTGCATAGGAACATAACTGCGCTGGACTTTAGACGAGCTTTTAGTTGGTCAATAGTGCAGTCTATTTCAGTTTTTCAAAAAAGCAACGCGCCAACAATGCACCTTAACACATCTACATTTTAAACCAGCACACCCATGAGTCCAATCATTGGCGCAAATAAATTTGCTGTTTAAGCAACGTGATGCAAAACGTGAATATCAGGGTTGTGCTGGTCTGAAAATGGCAACAAATTGTGCACAACACATCTTGTGGCTTTTTGCTCCAGGTGTATGATAGGGCCCTAAATGCATTTTGAATTAGCTTAAAGAGGTTGCTTAAAATCAAGTAAGTTGCTTAAATTCAAATTACAGCATGTACAGTTAAAGTCAGAATGATTAGCCCCCCTGAATTATTAGCCCCCCTGTTTATTTTTTCCCACAATTTGTTTAACGGAGAGATTTCTTCAACATATTTAACACAACAGATGCGTTAACTACGGGTTTTATGGGAACTGTGTGGGCATGGGCTTTGGCTGGGTGAAATCAGCGGGTCCCATGTAGGTTTGTAGTATAAGTCCCACGTAGGAAGCCCATATTAGCTGATTACATGGGCCCCATAAGGGAAAGGCATGGGCCAGTTGGGCATGGGTTTGATCTGGGAACACATATATGGGTCTTGAATGGTATATTTATGGACCAACTGGGCATAGGTTTTAACTAGGAATATGGGTCCTGCATAGCATAATTATGGGCAAAGTGGCAATGGGTTTGAACTGGGAATGCCTATATGGGTTCTGCATAGCAGATTTATCGGTCTCGGTCTCAGGGTGGTGGCTGCGTGCGGTGATCGCAGGACTCTCTGGGGGGCTATAGTGGTGCAGGGTCCTGTCGGGATGCTGCAGATCATTGGTACTTGTCTGGTCCGTGCTGGCGGGTAGTCGCAGGTTCAATGAATGAATGAGCTGGGTAAAGTGGCTGGCTGCGTGGCGGGGTCGGCGGTTGCCATTCCCGGCCCGATGGGGCCTACCAGATGCAGCTCTGGCGGGGGCCTTTGTCTGCCACCATCTATGTGGAAGCATGTCCATCTCTGTAGTGTGGTGGTAGTTGACATGTGATCTGGGGTTGCTGCTGCTGGCCAGGGTACTGGGTTTCCTGGCCTTCCTCTACCTTCCTGGGATACATGTAGAGGTATAGAATTATGACAGTCCTGTGTTTCATTTTATTATTTTTTTCTAGCTGTTATGCATTGATTAGTCATCCTTTAGTGTCCATGTCATTGCTGGCTGGGACTCCATGGGTCTTCCCCCTGAGCTTAGTGATGGAGCTGTGAACTCTGACTCTGTGCTCTGTGTAAATATCATGTTCAACTCCATGCTTCTCTCCCTACATTTAGAAAACTTTTACACATTTGCTGCTGCCTGAGCCAGGATGCGATTGTTCCTTGACCCTGACTTTTTCCCATGACATTTTCTTATTTAGTGATACTCACCACATAGTTTTTTTGCTACTAAATTCAGACACTCATCGTTTTAGGTTCAGTACCTGACAGCAAAATCATCAGCCCATGTACACTCAGCAGTATCATAAGAGTTGGGCCCTGTCCACGGGAACACATATATTATAAAAAAATGCACTTTTTTTCTATGCTGTTTCACTGTTTGTCCAAACAAAAATTCTGTGTCAGGTCAGGTGACTGAAAACTTTCTGAGGACTCCAGTCAGGGTGAAGATATTCCAAAACTCAGGGTATAGTGGGGTCCTGTGGACGATAAACTGCAGTTTTTTCCTTATGATGTTAGCATGTGCAAGGTTTTCTCCTTTCTTATTTTTATGTGGACAGAGATTTTTATAAAATGAAATGGCTCAAAATTTGCAAAAGGAGGCCCTGCACCATACTAATGAGAATAATTTATGTAATTGATTCTGTATTAATAGCTGGGAAAGGACCAGATCTCCATTATCTAGCTGTGTGTCTATGAAGAGCAACAACTCTATGGGTCTCCCCCCTGATCTCAGTGATGGAGCTGTCAACTCTGAGTTCCTGTGAGTATCATGGAGTTCCTCAATTATCTGCTGTAATGAAACCTAGATATGACATTATTTAAAACGCTCAAAATTACAAATCTGGAGTGTAAAATGTTATATGCTGCAAAAGTTTACCCATACACAACTGACAAATTAAATTTATCTTCAGGAAATTACAGTATGCATGTAATATGAGTAAACTGGTTTACAGTATATGCTTGCCTTAACATCAAAATGACTGAAAACCAAATGTTTAAAAACAAATTACCACCAAGGGTAGCTGAAAACTAAATCAAGTAGAAATCAAAATTATTGATTTATACAAATTATTTATTTCCTCTTCAATTTCTGCTGATGAATTATAAGTTAATGGAAGATAAATTACAAAGTGTAAAACGTATTTGGTTTCTTTGTTTCCACTGCAGCAAGAGAAAGAGAGAAGAGTCTTCATTGTCTAGCAGCATGTTTATAAAGAGTGACCACCCCTTTGGTCTCCCCCTTTATCTCAGTGATAGAGCTGTGAACTCTGACTCTGTGTGAGTATCATAGAGTTATTTAACTATCTGCTGTAATGAAACTTGGATATGGCATTATTTAAAATGTTCACAATTTAAAATCCGTACAGAAACATCTGTGAAATGATATAACCTGAAATGATTAAGTCTACCCTGATTATCTTGTACAGTGCATCCGGAAAGCATTCATAGTGCTTCACTTTTTCCACATTTTCTATGTTACCCAAAACAGTCTACACACTATACCCCATAATGATGAACGAATCACTCCCTGAGAGGACTCATAGTTCCCGAGTCATATTGAAGATTTGTTTATCGTTCAAGAACGACCCATCACTAGTTTCCACCAAAACTCTTCGTTGGGAGCTTTACATAGTTTGGCTGCTATAACCAAACCTTTGTTCACTCGTGCCAATGCTGAGCGTCTGTTTCAGTGGTGCTAGCAGCAAAAATCTTGGGCTGTGAAACATGTATTGTTCTCTGAGTTCACCTTCACTGTCTTTTCCACTTATGGGAGAGTTACAGTGTGGAGAAGCCCCAAAGAAGCGTACCACCCAGACTAGGCATGGGCCGCTATGAGACTCTGATGGTATGATAACCTTGGATAAAAATATCATGAGGCATTGTGATTACTGATTTTAAAATGTTCTTTTTTAAATGTATGGGTAACAAACTATTTTTTTCCTATTGAACACAATATATTTTATTTTACAGAACATTTTAAATATTTTGTAATAGTAAAGATTTCAGGCTAAATAATTCTCTGTATTTGAATTTACCCCCTATATTCGCAACTAGTGCATTATTTAAGGATCAGACATATTGGTGGTGTCCGATACTATATAGTGGACAATATAAAGTGTCAATCAACCCCACAATGCACAGCAATAATGAGTCTACAGCCCATGTACTCTCAACAGCTAGAAAATCCCCACAATGCACCATGAGAGTTGGGCCCTGTCCATACGAACACAAGTCATGGTTTCCGCTACATTCATTCTTCTGTGGCGGGGCGCCACACCAAAATTCATCCGCCACGACTACATTACAGCTTCTTATTCTAAATATCTGGTCGTTTTTTAAATAGCGGGTTAAAATCGCATCGAAACGTATGAAAAGGTAATGAATAATAACAGCGCAAAGTTTTCTGTGACCGTAGTAGTGCTGTGTGTGCTGTTTAATGTGCTGACTGACTGACAGGTGCGTGATGCGTGAGGCCAGCAAACCCGATGTAGCTTTCAGTTATGACGAACACAGTTTCCATAATTATACTGTATTTAAAGATAAAGGTCTGTGGCTCTTCGTATAATGACTTTATCTTGCTGGAGTTTATAGCCGTTTCACTTTACTTCAGGACTCATTAATGCTGCGATCCGCTCCGCCAGTCTATCAGAGACATTCATAAACATTCCTAGCAAATCTAATAAATGTTGGAGACATACTCGGTACATAAACACACTAAATCACACTTCAGCTGCGTTTATTTAAGGGCGCTAAAGAAAATCTGCACTTGAGCAGCGTATATTTGAGGGCGCGCAAAATGTTTTGTGCACGAACAGAGGAAATCGGCGCTCAAGCAGAGATTGACTTGCTTGTAGGCTATTACATGAATGCGATCTTGACTTAATACTGCGTCCATGACATTTGTCAATGAAATAACGCCACATGTAGTGGTAGATCAGTGTAAAATGGACAACAGAGTCTGCCGCCACAGCTGGAAAAAATCCTAGAGGAAACACTGCAAGTATTACAAAAAATGCACTTTTTTAAATGCAGTTTCACTGTTTGTGCACACAAAAATGCTGTGTCAGGTAACTAAAAACTTTCTGAAGACTCCAGTCAGGGTGAAGATTTTCCAAAACTCGGGGTATAGTGGGGTCCTGTGGACAATGAAACTGTTTTTTCTCCTCATGATGTCAGCGTGTGTGCTGTTTTCTCCTTTCTTATTGGACAACACAGCTGGGTTCACACCAAATGAGGCTAAACCCAGATGAAGTGTCATTATCATTACATGTTTCTTTGTGTCCTTAACATACATCACAGTGCGTGTTTGTATTTTGAGACTTTTAAAAAATTAACAAATTCCATTTATAAAATGAAATGGCTCAAAATTTGCAAAAGGAGGCCCTGCACCATACTAATGAGAATAATTTATGTAATTGATTCTGTATTAATAGCTGGGAAAGGACCAGATCTCCATTATCTAGCTGTGTGTCTATGAAGAGCAACAACTCTATGGGTCTCCCCCCTGATCTCAGTGATGGAGCTGTCAACTCTGAGTTCCTGTGAGTATCATGGAGTTCCTCAATTATCTGCTGTAATGAAACCTAGATATGACATTATTTAAAACGCTCAAAATTACAAATCTGGAGTGTAAAATGTTAAATGCTGCAAAAGTTTACCCATACACAACTGACACATTAAATTTATCTTCAGGAAATTACAGTATGCATGTAATATGAGTAAACTGGTTTACAGTATATGCTTGCCTTAACATCAAAATGACTGAAAACCAAATGTTTAAAAACAAATTACCACCAAGGGTAGCTGAAAACTAAATCAAGTAGAAATCAAAATTATTGATTTATACAAATTATTTATTTCCTCTTCAATTTCTGCTGATGAATTATAAGTTAATGGAAGATAAATTACAAAGTGTAAAACGTATTTGGTTTCTTTGTTTCCACTGCAGCAAGAGAAAGAGAGAAGAGTCTTCATTGTCTAGCAGCATGTTTATAAAGAGTGACCACCCCTTTGGTCTCCCCCTTTATCTCAGTGATAGAGCTGTGAACTCTGACTCTGTGTGAGTATCATAGAGTTATTTAACTATCTGCTGTAATGAAACTTGGATATGGCATTATTTAAAATGTTCACAATTTAAAATCCGTACAGAAACATCTGTGAAATGATATAACCTGAAATGATTAAGTCTACCCTGATTATCTTGTACAGTGCATCCGGAAAGCATTCATAGTGCTTCACTTTTTCCACATTTTCTATGTTACCCAAAACAGTCTACACACTATACCCCATAATGATGAACGAATCACTCCCTGAGAGGACTCATAGTTCCCGAGTCATATTGAAGATTTGTTTATCGTTCAAGAACGACCCATCACTAGTTTCCACCAAAACTCTTCGTTGGGAGCTTTACATAGTTTGGCTGCTATAACCAAACCTTTGTTCACTCGTGCCAATGCTGAGCGTCTGTTTCAGTGGTGCTAGCAGCAAAAATCTTGGGCTGTGAAACATGTATTGTTCTCTGAGTTCACCTTCACTGTCTTTTCCACTTATGGGAGAGTTACAGTGTGGAGAAGCCCCAAAGAAGCGTACCACCCAGACTAGGCATGGGCCGCTATGAGACTCTGATGGTATGATAACCTTGGATAAAAATATCATGAGGCATTGTGATTACTGATTTTAAAATGTTCTTTTTTAAATGTATGGGTAACAAACTATTTTTTTCCTATTGAACACAATATATTTTATTTTACAGAACATTTTAAATATTTTGTAATAGTAAAGATTTCAGGCTAAATAATTCTCTGTATTTGAATTTACCCCCTATATTCGCAACTAGTGCATTATTTAAGGATCAGACATATTGGTGGTGTCCGATACTATATAGTGGACAATATAAAGTGTCAATCAACCCCACAATGCACAGCAATAATGAGTCTACAGCCCATGTACTCTCAACAGCTAGAAAATCCCCACAATGCACCATGAGAGTTGGGCCCTGTCCATACGAACACAAGTCATGGTTTCCGCTACATTCATTCTTCTGTGGCGGGGCGCCACACCAAAATTCATCCGCCACGACTACATTACAGCTTCTTATTCTAAATATCTGGTCGTTTTTTAAATAGCGGGTTAAAATCGCATCGAAACGTATGAAAAGGTAATGAATAATAACAGCGCAAAGTTTTCTGTGACCGTAGTAGTGCTGTGTGTGCTGTTTAATGTGCTGACTGACTGACAGGTGCGTGATGCGTGAGGCCAGCAAACCCGATGTAGCTTTCAGTTATGACGAACACAGTTTCCATAATTATACTGTATTTAAAGATAAAGGTCTGTGGCTCTTCGTATAATGACTTTATCTTGCTGGAGTTTATAGCCGTTTCACTTTACTTCAGGACTCATTAATGCTGCGATCCGCTCCGCCAGTCTATCAGAGACATTCATAAACATTCCTAGCAAATCTAATAAATGTTGGAGACATACTCGGTACATAAACACACTAAATCACACTTCAGCTGCGTTTATTTAAGGGCGCTAAAGAAAATCTGCACTTGAGCAGCGTATATTTGAGGGCGCGCAAAATGTTTTGTGCACGAACAGAGGAAATCGGCGCTCAAGCAGAGATTGACTTGCTTGTAGGCTATTACATGAATGCGATCTTGACTTAATACTGCGTCCATGACATTTGTCAATGAAATAACGCCACATGTAGTGGTAGATCAGTGTAAAATGGACAACAGAGTCTGCCGCCACAGCTGGAAAAAATCCTAGAGGAAACACTGCAAGTATTACAAAAAATGCACTTTTTTAAATGCAGTTTCACTGTTTGTGCACACAAAAATGCTGTGTCAGGTAACTAAAAACTTTCTGAAGACTCCAGTCAGGGTGAAGATTTTCCAAAACTCGGGGTATAGTGGGGTCCTGTGGACAATGAAACTGTTTTTTCTCCTCATGATGTCAGCGTGTGTGCTGTTTTCTCCTTTCTTATTGGACAACACAGCTGGGTTCACACCAAATGAGGCTAAACCCAGATGAAGTGTCATTATCATTACATGTTTCTTTGTGTCCTTAACATACATCACAGTGCGTGTTTGTATTTTGAGACTTTTAAAAAATTAACAAATTCCATTTATAAAATGAAATGGCTCAAAATTTGCAAAAGGAGGCCCTGCACCATACTAATGAGAATAATTTATGTAATTGATTCTGTATTAATAGCTGGGAAAGGACCAGATCTCCATTATCTAGCTGTGTGTCTATGAAGAGCAACAACTCTATGGGTCTCCCCCCTGATCTCAGTGATGGAGCTGTCAACTCTGAGTTCCTGTGAGTATCATGGAGTTCCTCAATTATCTGCTGTAATGAAACCTAGATATGACATTATTTAAAACGCTCAAAATTACAAATCTGGAGTGTAAAATGTTAAATGCTGCAAAAGTTTACCCATACACAACTGACAAATTAAATTTATCTTCAGGAAATTACAGTATGCATGTAATATGAGTAAACTGGTTTACAGTATATGCTTGCCTTAACATCAAAATGACTGAAAACCAAATGTTTAAAAACAAATTACCACCAAGGGTAGCTGAAAACTAAATCAAGTAGAAATCAAAATTATTGATTTATACAAATTATTTATTTCCTCTTCAATTTCTGCTGATGAATTATAAGTTAATGGAAGATAAATTACAAAGTGTAAAACGTATTTGGTTTCTTTGTTTCCACTGCAGCAAGAGAAAGAGAGAAGAGTCTTCATTGTCTAGCAGCATGTTTATAAAGAGTGACCACCCCTTTGGTCTCCCCCTTTATCTCAGTGATAGAGCTGTGAACTCTGACTCTGTGTGAGTATCATAGAGTTATTTAACTATCTGCTGTAATGAAACTTGGATATGGCATTATTTAAAATGTTCACAATTTAAAATCCGTACAGAAACATCTGTGAAATGATATAACCTGAAATGATTAAGTCTACCCTGATTATCTTGTACAGTGCATCCGGAAAGCATTCATAGTGCTTCACTTTTTCCACATTTTCTATGTTACCCAAAACAGTCTACACACTATACCCCATAATGATGAACGAATCACTCCCTGAGAGGACTCATAGTTCCCGAGTCATATTGAAGATTTGTTTATCGTTCAAGAACGACCCATCACTAGTTTCCACCAAAACTCTTCGTTGGGAGCTTTACATAGTTTGGCTGCTATAACCAAACCTTTGTTCACTCGTGCCAATGCTGAGCGTCTGTTTCAGTGGTGCTAGCAGCAAAAATCTTGGGCTGTGAAACATGTATTGTTCTCTGAGTTCACCTTCACTGTCTTTTCCACTTATGGGAGAGTTACAGTGTGGAGAAGCCCCAAAGAAGCGTACCACCCAGACTAGGCATGGGCCGCTATGAGACTCTGATGGTATGATAACCTTGGATAAAAATATCATGAGGCATTGTGATTACTGATTTTAAAATGTTCTTTTTTAAATGTATGGGTAACAAACTATTTTTTTCCTATTGAACACAATATATTTTATTTTACAGAACATTTTAAATATTTTGTAATAGTAAAGATTTCAGGCTAAATAATTCTCTGTATTTGAATTTACCCCCTATATTCGCAACTAGTGCATTATTTAAGGATCAGACATATTGGTGGTGTCCGATACTATATAGTGGACAATATAAAGTGTCAATCAACCCCACAATGCACAGCAATAATGAGTCTACAGCCCATGTACTCTCAACAGCTAGAAAATCCCCACAATGCACCATGAGAGTTGGGCCCTGTCCATACGAACACAAGTCATGGTTTCCGCTACATTCATTCTTCTGTGGCGGGGCGCCACACCAAAATTCATCCGCCACGACTACATTACAGCTTCTTATTCTAAATATCTGGTCGTTTTTTAAATAGCGGGTTAAAATCGCATCGAAACGTATGAAAAGGTAATGAATAATAACAGCGCAAAGTTTTCTGTGACCGTAGTAGTGCTGTGTGTGCTGTTTAATGTGCTGACTGACTGACAGGTGCGTGATGCGTGAGGCCAGCAAACCCGATGTAGCTTTCAGTTATGACGAACACAGTTTCCATAATTATACTGTATTTAAAGATAAAGGTCTGTGGCTCTTCGTATAATGACTTTATCTTGCTGGAGTTTATAGCCGTTTCACTTTACTTCAGGACTCATTAATGCTGCGATCCGCTCCGCCAGTCTATCAGAGACATTCATAAACATTCCTAGCAAATCTAATAAATGTTGGAGACATACTCGGTACATAAACACACTAAATCACACTTCAGCTGCGTTTATTTAAGGGCGCTAAAGAAAATCTGCACTTGAGCAGCGTATATTTGAGGGCGCGCAAAATGTTTTGTGCACGAACAGAGGAAATCGGCGCTCAAGCAGAGATTGACTTGCTTGTAGGCTATTACATGAATGCGATCTTGACTTAATACTGCGTCCATGACATTTGTCAATGAAATAACGCCACATGTAGTGGTAGATCAGTGTAAAATGGACAACAGAGTCTGCCGCCACAGCTGGAAAAAATCCTAGAGGAAACACTGCAAGTATTACAAAAAATGCACTTTTTTAAATGCAGTTTCACTGTTTGTGCACACAAAAATGCTGTGTCAGGTAACTAAAAACTTTCTGAAGACTCCAGTCAGGGTGAAGATTTTCCAAAACTCGGGGTATAGTGGGGTCCTGTGGACAATGAAACTGTTTTTTCTCCTCATGATGTCAGCGTGTGTGCTGTTTTCTCCTTTCTTATTGGACAACACAGCTGGGTTCACACCAAATGAGGCTAAACCCATATGAAGTGTCATTATCATTACATGTTTCTTTGTGTCCTTAACATACATCACAGTGCGTGTTTGTATTTTCATGTGGACAGAGACTTTTAAAAAAATTAACAAATTCCATTTATAAAATGAAATGGCTCAAAATTTGCAAAAGGAGGCCCTGCACCATACTAATGAGAATAATTTATGTAATTGATTCTGTATTAATAGCTGGAAAAGGACCAGATCTCCATTATCTAGCTGTGTGTCTATGAAGAGCAACAACTCTATGGGTCTCCCCCCTGATCTCAGTGATGGAGCTGTCAACTCTGAGTTCCTGTGAGTATCATGGAGTTCCCCTTCGGTTGGGGAACTCCAGTGCTATAAGTGGATTTGATGTTCTAAATCCACGTATGGGAGATTCGGTTCAGAAGCTACTTGTCTGAAAGAGTATTGAACGGGAAATGAAAGCAATGAATTGGCAGCGTAAGCTTGCGCAGGTGTGCTGCATTGCCAATTAACTGAGCATATAAGCACACCAGGTGCCAGCAAACGCTATCCTTTTCGCTTCAGAGACTTTTCTGATCGAGCTTCATGAGGGTTCCTCTTGCTATCTACAGCCACATCGAGCGAATGAGTGTCTCCCGGTCCAGAGCAAGTCCATGCAGCGGCAGACGGTCGAGCTGGGTTTTCTCCCTTGCCTGGCGTCCCTTTGGGTCCGGTCCTCCAGAGCGGTGCGTATTGTTGCAAGGTTTCCTAAAAGAGCAACACAGTCGTGCAGCACGTCCTTTTCAGGATGGCGCTCCGACTGTGCGTTTCTGGTTGTGGGGGTTTCCTGGCTCCGGATGATGGGCACGATCACTGCATTACATGTTTGGGGGTCCAGCATGGCGGTTCATGTCGTCACTGCGATGCCATGACCGTCGCGCAGTTGAGATCGCGGCTAACTTTCGTAAGAGAGCGAGCCACCCCAGTCGCCTCCTGCTCTGCAGTGGGCGCTCGGGCAGATCTGAGGGCTCCAGCAAGAGATAATCCGCCGCCTAAGGGCTCGCGGACCTCTCGCTCCTCTAAGCGCTCCATCCAAGCTTCGGGTGCTGGGAGTGATCCGTCTAATCAGATGGTAGCTCTCACGCTCGCTGACACCGGAGATCAGATGTCCTCCGCGCCATCAGAGGGTGGGCTTTCATTGTCCGACGATGATCCGGACCCGCTCGTCCCCTCTGGGCAAGCGAGCACCGTCAAAACGGATCTTGAAGCGGACTTGTTAGCCATGCTTTCTCGGGCTGCTTCGGCCGTCGGGTTGGAGATGGTTCATCCCCCAGCTCAGCAGCCGGACCGACTAGACGGGTGTTACGTAGAGGACCAAAAGGCGAAGCCTTTGAAGTCTCTCGTCCCCTTCTTTCCGGAAGTGCACAGTAGGCTCACGCAGTCCTGGAGGGCACCTTTTTCTGCCCGTGTTGCGTCCGCCTCCGCCTCCGCCTTCGCCTTCACCACCCTGGATGGTGGAGCTGCCAGGGGGTATGAGGCGATCCCGCAGGTGGAGCACACCATTACAGTCAATCTTTGTCCACGTGGCGCCCCTACTTGGCAAGGTCCGCCCCGTCTCCCGTCCAAAGCCTGTAGGTTATCTGCCTCCCTCGGAGCTAGAGCTTACAAGGCTGCGGGCCAGGCAGCTTCCGCCTTGCACGCGATGGCCACCTACCAGCGCTACAATGCGCAGGCGCTGGCCGATCTGCACGAGGGTGGGTCTAACCCAGGCTTGTTACACGAGCTGCGCACCGCAACTGACTATGCTCTCCGGACTACTAAGTCCGCCGCATGTATGCTGGGGAAGACGATGTCCACACTTGTGGTCCAGGAACGCCACCTCTGGCTAAACCTGGCAGACATGTGCGATGTTGACAAATTTCGCTTTCTTGACTCGCCCATATCCCAGGCTGGCCTGTTCGGCGACACCTTCTGTGAATTCACCCAGGAGTTCAAGGCGGTGAAGGAGCACTCGGATGCGATGGGCAATGTCATCTATCGGCGGGACCGTAAGCCCGCTCCGTCCCCCGCCAAGCCATCCACCTCTGCTGCTCCTCGCTTCGAGCACGCCGGAAGCCGGCAGCCCCTCCTCCAGGGCGCCGCTAAGTCCGGTAAAAGGACTGCTAAGCTTCCCTGAGACAAGCTATCCGGAGAGAAGGAAACTTGCTCTTTCCCAGCTGGAGGGCGGGCCCATATCCCAACGGTACTTTTCAGTGCCACCAAAGATTCGAACAAAGAGCATTTTTCCCTTTTCCCGGATGTCACAGCTCAAGCCCTGCCAGTCTGGGACGCGATGCCTCTCAGCTCGCAGGGTCTGCATGCTCCGCCAGTGGCTCACGGGCACTGGGGGGACGGTTTCCCAGCCCCCAAGCCCCCCCCTCCGGAGTCAGGGTGCGGAGCCAGAGTGAATAGCTCTCCTCCAGCTCTTCTGTGGGACGCTCGCGCTCCCTGGATCAGCACACCCGCTCTGCGCTGCCCCTCCGCGGGTACGTCAACGATTGCTGCGATGACGTCATTAGCGAGGGCTCTGCCTGCCTGGTTAGCGTGGGCCAGCTCCTCGCGGTGGCTCATACACACGATCAGACTCGGCTACGAACTACAGTTCTCGAAACGGCCTCCCAAGTTCCCGGGCATGTATTTCACCAGGGTCAATCCCCTGTCCGCCCCTGTCTTGCGAGAGGAGATTGCTGCCCTTCTGGCGAAGGGTGCAATCGAGCCGGTACCTCCAGCCGAGATGGAGAGCGGGTTTTACAGCCCGTACTTCATCGTACCCAAAAAGAGCGGTGGGACATGGCCAATCCTAGATCTGCGCATTTTGAACCTCTGTCTGCACAAGCTGCCGTTCAGAATGCTTACGCAGAAACGCATCCTCCGATGCGTCTGCCCTCAGGATTGGTTTGCAGCCATAGACCTGAAGGACGCGTATTTTCATGTCTCCATTCTTCCAAGTCACCGCCAGTTTCTGCGGTTTGCGTTCGAAGATTGAGCATGGCAGTACAAGGTCCTCCCCTTCGGGCTCTCTCTGTCTCCGCGGATCTTCACCAAACTCGCGGATGGTGCTCTAGCGCCCCTTCGGCTCGTGGGCATCCGCGTACTCAATTATCTTGACGATTGGCTGATTTTAGCCCACTCTCGGGAGCAATTGACTGCGCACAAAGACGAGGTGCTCCGGCATCTTCGCCTATTGGGGTTGCAGGTCAACTGGGCAAAGAGCAAACTCGCCCCGGTGCAGAGGATCTCTTTTCTCGAGATGGAGCTGGACTCGGTCACCATGGTAGCGCGCCTCTCCGGAGAGCGCGCTCGCCTGCTGCTGAACTGTCTGAGGGAACTCGACAGCAAAATAGTGGTCCCACTGAAATATTTTCAGAGGCTCCTAGGACATACGGCTTCCGCTGCGACTGTCACGCCGCTCGGACTGCTCCATATGAGACCACTTCAGCACTGGCTTCAAGATCGAGTTTCAAGACATGCATGGCATGCGGGCGCACACCGAGTCACTGTTACTGCGCTGTGTCGCCGCACCCTCAGCCCCTGGAATGACCCCTCGTTCCTGCAGGCCGGTGTGCCACTGGGACAGGCGTCCAGTCATGTTGTTGTCTCAACAGATGCTTCCAGCACAGGCTGGGGAGCCATGTGTCGCGGGCATGCAGCTGCGGGCCTGTGGGTAGGTGACCAGCTGCATTGGCATATCAATCGCCTAGAGCTGTTGGCAGTGTTCCTTGCTCTCTGCCGTTTTTCTCCGGTGCTGGAGCAGCAACAAGTATGCGTTTCCCCCAGTGAGCCTAATCGCGCAGTTACTCCTCTGGCAGATCCCTTTGAGAGAAAACCTACTTTCTCAGGAACAAGGCACCATTTGGCACCCTCGGCCCGATCTCTGGAACCTCCACGTGTGGTCCCTAGACGCGAGGAAGACTTGGGTAACCTGCCGTCCATGGTGGTTGATACCATCACTCAGGCTAAATCCCCCTCCACGAGGCACCTACGCCCTGGAGTCTATTCACTGAATGGTGTGTCTCTCGCAGAGAAGACCCCCGATCTTGCCAGATCAGTGTTGTGCTCTCTTTCCTTCAAGAGAAGCTGGATAGCAGGCTGTCGCCCTCCACTCTCAAGGTTTACGTTGCCGCCATCTCCGCTCACCATGACGCGGTGGCTGGCGGCACCGTGGGAAAGCATAACCTCATCATCCGGTTCCTCAGAGGTGCTAGGCGAATTAATCCAACTCGCCCCCCTCTCATGCCCTCTTGGGATCTCGCCCTCGTTCTCACGAGCCTGCGATCTGATCCCTTCGAGCCACTCGACTCAGTATCCTTAAGATTTCTGTCCCTGAAGACAGCTCTGCTGGTCGCGTTGGCCTCCATTAAGAGGGTCGGGGACCTGGAGGCATTTTCGGTTAGTGACTCGTGCCTGGAATTCGGGCCGGATTTTTCTCACGTTATCCTGAGACCCCGCCCGGGTTATGTGCTCAAAGTTCCTACCACTTCCTTTAGAGATCAGGTAGTAACCCTGCAAGCTCTGCCCCCGGAGGAGGCAGACCCAGCCCTTTTCTTACTTTGTCCAGTTCGCACCCTGCGCATTTATGTGGACTGTACTCAGTACTTTAGATCTTCTGAGCAGCTCTTTGTCTGTTATGGCGGACAGCAGCAGGGAGGTGCCGTGTCCAAACAAAGATTATCCCACTGGATTGTGGAGGCCATTTCATGTGCTTATTTGAGCAGAGGTCAGCCGCGTCCCCCAGGAGTGCGTGCGCACTCCACTCGGAGCGTTGCATCCTCTTGGGCGTGTGCACGCGGCGCCTCTTTAACAGACATTTGTAGAGCTGTGGGCTGGGCAACACCCAACACATTCGCAAGGTTTTACAATCTGCGAGTGGAGCCGGTTTCCTCAAGGGTGTTAGGTAACCCTTGGTGATTGAGGAAACAACTCGGTGGGGTGTTGTATTACGCTTGTGATGCCTTTTTCCCTAACACGGAGAGATGTGCACCTTCCTGTCTGTCAGTAAAGTTCCCCGTCGGTGAGCCCTGCAGATTCCTCCGAGGCCCCCAGCACTGACTCAGCGGAGGAGTTACTCGCTGGCCCACTACGTTAGGTCTGCCCGCTGGTCAGCCCGCGTTTTTGGGTATAGGTGCCTGCTATGTGCGATCCCCGCTGGTGATCCCCATATGCTTATTTCCGCCCCCCTGGGTGAACCCGTGCCTTCCCTATCCACTAACCACCTTCTTATGCGCACTCCCCCTCCTTAGGGTTAGTCCATATGTAATTCCATTTTGTCTCCCTATTGGGTGCAGATGGTCTCCGCAGCGTCCTCCTTAGTGGGATTGCACGCTTCCCAACGTACTGTCATATTTCCTAGAATTATCTAGACGCTAGCGACTCCCCAAAAAATATACCTATTCTGTAAAGCTTCTTTTTGAAGTGGGGATAAGTTAGGGCCAAGGGCACGTTGGAGGACCGCGCCTTCCATGATTTGGGTACGTCACGCTTGCCTGACTGCCCTCTCATCGGAGGCGTTGGTAAGGTGCAGTCATTATGGCACTTTCAATGGCTCCCATACGTGGATTTAGAACATCAAATCCACTTATAGCACTGGAGTTCCCCAACCGAAGGGGAACGTTCGAGGTTACAGAAGTAACCCTTTGTTCCCCGAGGAGGGGAATGGAAGTGCTATACTCCGTCGCCATAATGACTGTCCATTAGCTGTTTAAAAGTCTCTTCAGCTTAAAAAGGATGGTGTTTCCTGGCGCCAGGTGTGTTTATATGCTCAGTTAATTGGCAATGCAGCACACCTGTGCAAGCTTTCGCTGCCAATTCATTGCTTTCATTGGCCCGTTCAATACTCTTACAGACAAGTAGCTTCTGAACCGAATCTCCCATACGTGGATTTAGAACATCAAATCCACTTATAGCACTGGAGTTCCCCTCCTCGGGGAATGAAGGGTTACTTCTGTAACCTTGAACATTACTCAATTATCTGCTGTAATGAAACCTAGATATGACATTATTAAAATGCTCAAAATTACAAATCTGGAGTGTAAAATGTTATATGCTGCAAAAGTTTACCCATACACAACTGACACGTTAATTTTATCTTCAGGAAATTACAGTATGCATGTAATATGAGTAAACTGGTTTACAGTATATGCTTGCCTTAACATCAAAATGACTGAAAACCAAATGTTTGAAAACAAATTACCACCAAGGGTAGCTGAAAACTAAATCAAGTAGGAGTCAAAATTATTGATTTATACAAATTATTTAATTCCCCTTCAATTTCTGCTGATGAATTATAAGTTAATGGAAGATAAATTACAAAGTGTAAAACATATTTGTTTTCTTTGTTTCCACTGCAGCAAGAGAAAGAGAGAAGAGTCTTCATTGTCTAGCAGCATGTCTATGAAGAGTGACCACTACATTGATCTCCCCCCATGTAAACTCATGTGAGTATCATAGAGTTATTCAACTATCTGCTGTAATGAAACTTGGATATGGCATTATTTAAAATGTTCATAATTTAAAATCTGTACAGAAACATCTGTGAAATGATATAACCTGAAATGATTAAGTCTACCCTGATTACCCACTTGTATCTTGTACAGTGCATCCGGAAAGCATTCATAGTGCTTCACTTTTTCCACATTTTCTATGTTACCCAAAACATTCTACACACTATACCCCATAATAACAATGTGAAAAAAAGAGTTTATTAAGAATTTATTAATAATAAAAAACCTGAAAAATCTCATGTACATCAGTATTCTCAGCCTTTGCTCAATACTTTGTTGATGTGCCTTTGGCAGCGATTACAGTCTTTTTGAATATGATGCCACAAGCTTGGTACTTCTGTCTTTGGGAATGTTTGCCCATTCCTCTTTGCAATACCTCTCAAGCTCTATCAGGTTGAATGGGAAGTGACAGCCATTTCCAGATCTCACCAGTGATGTTCAATAGGATTTAGGTCTATGCTTTGGCTGGGCCACTCAAGGACATTCATTGAGTTGTTGTGAAGCCACTCCATTGATATTTTGGCTGTGTGCTTTGAGTCATTGTCCTGCTGGAAGATGAACCGTCTCCCCAGTCTGAGGTCAAAAGTACTCTGAAGCAGGTCTTCATTCAGGATGTCTCTGTACATTGCTGCATTCATCTTTCCCTCTATCCTGACTAGTCTTCCAGTTCCTGCTGCTGAAAAACATCCCCACAGCATGATTCCGCCACCACCATGCTTCTCTGTAGGGATGGTATTAGCATAGTAATGAGCGGTGCCTGATTTTCTCCAAACATAACGCCTAGCATTCACTCCAAGGAGTTAAATTTTAGTCTCATCAGAGCAGAGAGTTTAGTTTATGATGGTCTGAGAGTCCTTCAGATGCCTTTTGGTAAATTCCAGGTGGAGAGTGGTTTCCGTCTGGCCACTCTATCATACAGGTCTGATTAATGGATTGCTGCACAGATGGTTGTCCTTCTGTGAGGTTCTCCTCTCTCCACAGAGGAACGCTGGAGCTCAGCCAGAGTGAGCATCGGGTTACTGATCACCTCCATGACTAAGGCCCTTCTCCCCGGATCACTCAGCTTAGATGCCCGGCCAGCTCTAGGAAGAGTCCTGGGACCTAATGTATTAACAATGCGTACACACAAAAACTTTGCGTACGTCAGGTTTCATGCTCACATTTGGATTTACTAAGGATGAAATGAACGTAAGTGTGCGTTGTTCCACGCCAACTTCATGCCTGGTGTACGCACATTTCTTGTGTGTGTTTGTTTTATTTCCATTGGGGACTTCTAGAAGCAGTTGTGTTAAATTGCACTGTACAAAGTATCTTTGAGTCGTGCAATGGCAGCTGACAGCTGTATGCAACGGGTTCATCCGCATTTCTAGTAGCCATTGCTTTTTTGTTGGTTTTTGCCAAAGTAGAGTCATTAGCATATTCATACGGGGGAGGAGGCAGGGGGGGGGGTTTGCGCTCGTGCATGTGCGCTCAGTTTCACGTTAATTTGGATGTACAAAGAGAATATGCGTGGGATTATGCGTACGCACTGTTTTATACATTTGAATTTTTTACTGCGTACGCACATTTACAGTCTTCGTACATGAGGCCCCTGGTTTTTCCTAACATCTTCCATGTATGGATGATGAAGGCCACTGTGCTCAGTGGAACTTTCAGAACAACGGATTTTTTTCTGTCACCTTCCCCAGCCTTGTGCCTCGAGACAATCCTGTCTCGGAGGTCAACAGACAGTTCCTTTGTCTTCATGCTTGGTTTGCGCTTTGACATGCACTGTCAACCCTGTGACCTTTATATAGACATGTGTATGTCTTTTCAAATCATGTCAAATAAACTTAATTGACCACAGGTGAACTCCAATTAAACTGCTCAAACATCTTAAGAATACTCAAGGTTTTTATTTTTGATAAATTTGCACAATTTCAAAAACTCTATTGTTCACATTGTCATTATGGGGTGTTGTGTGTAGAATGTTGAGGAAATAAATAAATTTAATGCATTTTGCTATAAGGCTGTAACACAAAAAATGAGGAAGCGCTATGAATACTTTTCATATGCATTGTATAATGGTAATTCAATGTGACATGTTTGTGACAGGTGAATTTATCTTTGAGAAATTACAGTATGCATTTAATATGCCTAACTGGTATAGAGTATAAGCTTCTCTTAACATCAAAATGTCTGAAACTCATATGTTCTACTTAAAAACTAAATCAAGTAGGAAGCAAAATAATTTCATTATACAAAATATTTAATTTTAGTAACATTTCTGCTGATAAGTTATAATTTAATGTAAGATAAATTACAAAGTGTGAAACTTTTTTTTTTTTAACTCAATGTCCACAGCAGCAATAGAAAGAGAGAGTCTTCTCCATTATCTAGCTGTGTGTCTATGAAGAGTAATCACTCCATGAGTCTCCCCCCTTATCTCAGTGATGGAGCTGTGAACTCTGACTCTGTGTGAGTATCATGTGCATCTACATATTTCAGTCCTCAATATTCCAGTCCCTCTAAATATAATCATGTGGAGTTTACAGTTTAACAGAATAACCTAAAATGTAAAAAAAAATTGTGCTGGGCAACGATTCATTTTTTTTTTGCAATTACATTATTACAATTTCTGTGATTAATTGCGACTTAAATTTGCACGGTGGCGAAGTGGGTAGCACGTTCGCCCCGCAGCAAGAAGGTCCCTGGTTTGAGCTTCGATTGGGTCATTTGGCATTTATGTGTGATGCTTTTCCCTTGTTGGCGTGGGTTTCCTCTAAGTGCTCAGGTTTCCCCCACAGTCCAAAGACATGCGGTACAGGTGAACTGGGTAAGCTAAATTGTCCATAGTGTGTGTGTAAGAGTAAAGACTGATTTATACTTCTGCGTCAAACGCCCGTGTATACTACGGCGTTGACGCATAGCCCTTTGCCGTGGCCGTCGGCATCGCTGACGTGCACCTCTCAAAAAATGTAACTACACGTTGCAACGACGCGTAGCGCAAGCTCTGTGATTGGTCGGCTTGGTAGCGCTGACGAGTCTTGGCGGGACCAAGAACCGCACGAATGGCGCGAGCCTGATGGAGCGATTGTTTACAAGTGTGGAGTCCCGTGAAGGAGCTCCGGATGGAAAGTTTTGTTCTGTGTTTACCTCATGGTTAAAGTTGTTGCACATCCGCCGGTTCCTGCCTCAAAATGAGCGAGTTTGAGACACTTGAACATCCAGGAAGTGTTCAGGAAAAGCAAAACAGCAGTGAAGAAACTCGACACAGAGGAACATTTACACCTCACTGCCCACTAGCGTTTCGGAAGTGTTAATGCAGACCAAAAGAGACAGCACGCAGAAGTATAAATGCACAGCTGCGCGCGTTGCATGCGCCGTGGTTTACGCCGGTCACTTGACGCAGAAGTATAAACCAGGCTTGAGAGTGTATGGGTGTTTCCCAGTGATAGGTTGCGGCTGGAAGGGCATCCACTGCATAAAACATATGCTGAATAAATGGGCAGTTCATTCCACTGTGGTGACCCCAGATTAATAAAAGGACTAAGCCAAAAAGAAAATGAATGAATATTGTACACGGAACTCAATGCTAAACGCTTTAAACAAATAATATGGTATTTTCAGCAGTATTCCATTTAAATATTAACGGTTAAAATATATTTTACATTATGTAATCAAACAAAATATAGAACGCTCCAGTTACTAAAGTAACCCTTGTTCCCCGAAATGGGAACTTTAATGCTATGTGGAAACTTCTACTATGGGGATTTAGTCAGAACCCAATCATCTGAAAGAGTATATAAACGGGCCAATGAGTTGGCAGCGTCAGCTTGCACAGCCGTCGCTACTTGCAATCAATTTTGCAATAAAAGCGCAGCACGTGCTACTGAGCATCCCTTTCTAGCTGAAGAGACTTTTGCGCGCAACAGCTAAGGGGCAATCATTGTGGCGAAGGAACATAGCATTTCCATTTCCCCCCTCGGGGAAGGAGTGTTACTTTAGTCACTGGAGCGTTCCCCTTTGGGAGGGGAACTTGCTATGTGGGAACTTCCACCAGGGCTTGACATTAACTTTTTTGATAACCAGCCACTGTGGCTAGTAGTTTTCCAACATTACTAGCCACTCATCATTTTCCCTAGCCACACTTTTGTTGTGGGGAAGATATATTTTATATGCATAAATTTTACTTTGACATGCTAAATGTCATCGTGATTTAAATATTTTGTTATGTCCACATGCCTTCTCATTCATTTCACTACTTGTGTGTGTTGTGTATTAGCTTTATCAGTGTGCATAAGCAAATGGGTTGTGTCACATAGCAATCAGTCTTTATTTCACGACTTTTCAGGGCTCAAAATTAAGGATTTACCAAATTTATCTTTGGTAAATGGAGGTGTCTGTCTAACCTGCCAGAGCTGAAATCTACCCGCATTTGGCGTGTTGGCGGGTGAAAATGTAAAGCCCTGACTTCCACTATTGGGAAATGTATGGAAAACGTCACAATGATTGAACCTACTTTGCCCCCGATGAGAGGTTATACCAAGCCAATCTTCCAAATTGTTCCCTGACCGTTACTTATCACACTTTAACAGATGTTTTACAGATTTAGATAAATTTAAAGATTAAAATTTTTTGGGAGTCGTAATATGTTTAGTTAACCCCATTGGGGAGACCTGGTGACAAGAAGTCATATGGACTAGCCCAGAGAAGGTGGAGTACACATATGAAATATGATCGTGCATCGTGGCCGAGTAAGCATATCGGATCGTTAGCAGGGATCACACGTAGCGGGCACCTATACCCAGAACGTGGCCTGACCAGCAGGCATACCAGCAAGGTAACGGGCCATCACCTGACTCCTCCTCTGAGTCATCTGCTGGGGGCCAACCCTTTGTTGGTACGGTACTTCCCTTCTGCACACCACCATAACAGATGAAGAGCTGCTCAGATGATCTAAAGCTCTGAGTGCGGTCCACATAAACTCACAAAGCGCGAACTGGACACAGTAATGAAAGGGTTGCATCATGGGCAGCTCTTTCAGGCTCACTACCTAGGGTCTCATGTATCAAAGCTGTGTACGCACCCAAACTTTGCGTACGCCAGGTTTCACGCTCAGAATTGCTCACGTTTGGATTTACTAACGATGAAATGAACGTGGGTATGTGCGCAGCTCCACGCCAACTTCATGCCTGGCATAAACACATTTCTTGTGTGTGTCTGTTTTTATTTCCATTGGCGACTCCTAGAGGCAGTTGTGTTAAATTGCACTCTACCAAGTGTCTTTGAGCCGTGCAATGGCAGCTGTATGAGACGGGTTCATCTGCATGTCTAGCAGGTATATAAGGTTTCCATACCATGCAGTTGACCCGCCAAACATTAAAGCGCAATTTTCAGCAGTCACCATTTTCCCCAATGTAATCGGAGTGATCAACTGCATGCACATTGCTATAAAAGGCACCATCTGAAGATGAATTTTCTAACGTGAATCAGAAACATTTCCATTCAATAATTGAGTGAGTTCATCAGATTCTGGGCTCGAATGTGTCAAAACATGTTTTCATGCGTCTTACGAGCTACGCCACTCACGCTGGTAAAGTCACTTCAAAATTTTACACCTTTACATCGCACTTTTTCTTTTGTAATCCACTCAGTGCGATATTCAGACCCAACTGTGTTAACCGCATCAGCTAAACTCTCCCACTCTATTTTTTTCTTTTGTTGGTAATTCCGGAGAACAAACTTCTAAATAACACAGTTTTTCTCCGGTCTACCTCTTAAAGCAGCACCTCCAGTTCACATTCTGTTCAAAGTTTCTCTTCTTGCTTGCTTTTGGTGACGTGACATCGTGAATAGGGAGAGTTATGATATCCAGGTCCGATTGGGCCAGAGAGGCGCAACTAACTAGACCTGGTCCTGGTTCTCCCTGACCATGCACAGTAACTGCGTGAGCAGGCTCACTAGAGGAAATGCATATTTGCGCATGCCCCGAAGCCAGCTGTGGGCCAGTGCATCCGTGCCGAGGGAGCCCTCGGGACTTTGGACTTTTGGACTTGCCGACTGTTTGTAAATTCAAGACTGCATTTCCTAACGTAAAACTATGTACACTAGATTTCTGATTCTTATGGTCTCTGCATAGCCGAGCACTTCCTATATTAAAAGTGTTAAAATCGCTATTACCTTTGTCAATGTTGGCGTCAACCTAGGGAACTAGGCTAATGCGCGCAGCACCACGACTGACAGAGAGAGCAAGTGCGCACATTGCTGTGTCAGAATCCTTGCTTGTAAAATACGCTTCAGAACGCTTAGTTTAAGCAAATTTTGATTAACGTGATCATGCGTGTTGATCTGAAGAGAATCACTCTCGCTAACCGAATGCGCTGTACTGCATGCGTCCGTTCCCTAAGCAACAAGAGCAAATGCCTGACATCGCCTGTTTGTATTTCTCAAAGTTTTTTAGAATTAAATGTTTAGAGATGGTGTGACAATGTGTACTTAAGTGTGCCTTTGATGCACCCCTTGATGCTTCTTACGTCCTTGTTGCAGCCCCAGTGGCATCGAAATTAGGCACCGAAATTAGGCAAATTATGCTCAATTGATTGGAACATACCGGTTACAAAGGTACCGGTACTATAATGGCACCGGGTTTCGGTATCTAACCCTAGTGGTATATGTTTAAATATAATGGTTAAATAATAAATGCATGTTTCTTCCTAATAATTTTAAATTGTCTTTTGTTTCTATTTTGTCTCTTTGTTCATCCTGATCTTTGTGTGTGTGTGTGTGTGTGTGTGTGTGTGTGTGTGTGTGTGTGTGTGTGTGTGTGTGTGTGTGTGTGTGTGTGTGTGTGTGTGTGTGTTTAAAATCAATTGTTTGTCTTATGTGTCCTACAGATCTCCCTACTATCAGAAACACATCAGTCATTTTAAAACAGAGGCATGCCTGATGATTGATTCTCAACAACTAGTGCATGATGATCTCCAGAGAGTCAAAGACCAGCACAGATTCATCATGAAGATCAAGTACGAGAGCTTATTTGAGGGAGTGAAACTCCAGCAGAATCAAACCCTCCTGAACAGCATTTACACACAGCTGTACATCATAGAGGGAGAGAGTGAAGGAGTGAATGAAGAACATGAGGTGCTGCAGATGGAGAAGAGATACAAGACTCTCCAAGACACTCCAATCAACTGCAATGACATCTTTAACCCTTCAGCTGAAGCAGGAGATGAGGAGAAGAGCAGAGAGGAGAAAGAGCAGATCAAGACTGTTCTCACTAAAGGCATCGCTGGAATTGGAAAAACCGTCTCTGTGCAGAAGTTCATTCTGGACTGGGCCGAGGGAAAAGCCAATCAGGATGTAGATTTCATCTTTGTGCTTCCGTTTCGAGAGCTGAACTTGATTAAAGATCATCAGTACAGTCTTCACACACTTCTGCTGGACTTTCATCCTGAACTTCAGCATCTGGACTCACAGATTTATGAGGAGTGTAAAGTCGTGTTCATCTTTGATGGTCTGGATGAAAGCAGAATCACACTGATGTTTTCAGACTGTCAGAAAGTTTCTGATGTGACTGAAGCTTCATCAGTGAGTGTGTTGATGTCAAACCTCATGAAAGGAGATCTGCTTCCCTCCGCTCTCATCTGGATCACCAGCAGACCAGCAGCGGCCAATCAGATCCCCTCAAAACACATCAGCCTCGTGACGGAGATTCAGGGCTTCAATGACCCTCAGAAGGAGGAATATTTCAGGAAGAGAATCAGAGATGAAGATCAAGCCAGCAGAATCATCTCCCACATCAGAAGAGCAAGAAGCCTCCACATCATGTGCCACATACCCGTCTTCTGCTGGATCTCAGCCACTGTGCTTCAAACCATCCTGAGACAAGATCTGAGTGCAGAAATCCCTCAAACTCTGACTGAGATGTACATTCACTTCCTCCTCATTCAGACACACATGAGAAAGCAGAAGTATGAAGAGAGAGATCCAGAGAAACTCCTGCGGTTCAACAGAGACGTGATTGTGAAACTTGCTGAACTGGCTTTCAATCAGCTGATGAAGGGCAATGTGATGTTCTACGAGGAGGACCTGATTGAGAGCAGGATAGACGTCGCTGACGCCTCAGTGTATTCTGGGATCTGCACTGAGATCTTCAGAGAGGAATCTGTGATTTATCAGAGGAAGGTTTACAGCTTTGTTCATCTGAGCTTTCAGGAGTGTTTTGCAGCACTGTATGTGTTTTACTGCTATTTACACAACAACACTGAGGTGATGAAGATGTTCCTGACAGAAATATACAGAACTCAGAGTAAGAAAGTTTCTCTGGATGTGCTTCTGAAAGGAGTGATGATTGAAGCCTTGAAAAGTAAAACTGGACACCTGGATCTGTTCCTGCGATTTCTTCATGGCGTATCACTGGAGTCCAATCAGAGACTCTTACAGGATCTGCTGAAACACACAGAGAACGACCCAGACAGCATCAAGAAAATAATCAAAAACCTCAAACGAGGACAAAAAAACAACGTCAGTCCTGAAAGATGGATGAATCTCTCACACTGCTTGATGGAGATGAAGGACAATTCTGTGGTTAAAGAAATGCAAGCATTCTTAAAATCTAAAACACAAAGAAAATGTCTTTCTCTTGCACAATGTTCGACTTTGGCAAACATGATCCTGATGTCAGAGGAGGTGCTGGATGAGCTAGACATTAAAAAGTACAACATTAAATCAAAAGAAGGTCGATGGAGACTGATACCCGCTGTGAGAAACTGCAGAAAAGCTCTGTGAGTATAAATATTAACATGCACAGTAAAAGCTCCCATGTTAAATAATGGCAGATCAGCATTGAACAGACATGGATTAAGTTTCAGCTTGAAACCTTCCATTGAATTTTAATAAGGAATGCACTCTCAAATAATGTTATTCCAATGATAAAAACTGATGTCAAACATATTGTAGTTCTGAAGATAATGAAATAAGTAAAAAATGAATTATGGGTTGATTGAGCATTAATTATGAACACTTGAGGCTCTATTTTAATGATCTAAGTGCAAAGTCTAAAGCGGATGTCACAAAAGCACCAAGGATGTGTCCGAATACACTTTTTTTTTTTTTTGCTATTGTAAGGATGGAAAAAAAGGACGGTGGTCTAAAAAGGTTGTGCTCATTCTCGTAATGAGTTAAGACCAATCAGAGTCTTATCTTACATTATTTTTAGAAATTAATTGCATGGCACATTTGTTATTTACACATCGCAGACTTTGTAAGTGAAAAAACTGAATGCTTCACTAGCTAAAGACAATCTGTGCGGAGATTTAGGTCATCTACAGTGCAAGCCTTTTCTGTTTTACCTCTTCCTTTCAACCAAAGATTCAGGAAAGAGTGGTGGACGCACTACATCAAAGACATCCACTACATATTTAATTTCATAATTTTGTTTATTATACACAAAGATTTGTTTCAAAACTATTTCTAAATTAAGTTCTAATTTCCAGCAGACGAATAAATGAACAATAGTAATAAAGTGTTGTTGGAAACACGTTTTATATTCCTATTATTGTATTCCTATTCCTATGCCTCTTTTGGTGATTTTTTTTCTGTCAGATATGACAGATCTAAACAAAAAACTAATAAAACAGAAATAAAGATGCACATAATAAATGCTGCTACTACTACTACTATTACTATTAATAATAACATTAAGCAAATCCAAATTGTTATGAATAAACTGACCACAATAGAGCCGGATTCCAGATATTTGTGTATTGCTGTACATCCCTGTATGTTTATTAAGCAATATGTATGTGTGTTTTGAACCCACGTAGGTGCATAACGTGCTCTTTGAATAAAAAATTAAAAAAAAACTGTGCTATTGACTTTATATAAGCTTTAAGTTGGTCAATGGTGTGGTCTATTTCATTTCCTTCAAAATAGCAAAACGTTAACAATATCATATCAAACCTCCTTTTCAAACCTACACACCCATGAGTGCACAAAGCAACATGGTGCAAAACATGAATATGACACCTCCACTGTTCTGAAAATAGCAAAAAAAAAAAAAAACGTGTGTCACACTTAGCAAACTATTGCACTGAGTGTATGATAGGACCTTTGCTGTAAACAAGCAGAATCCATGAAAAGACTACACAAAAAACACATAAAACATGAAAACACAAAACTACAAGTGACTTCAGTTATAGCCTTGAGCCTGGATCACATTGTGATTTCAGCACAAGTTTTTTCATGTGAGACAAATTTTGGAAACCCTAAAAGATTCCTATAATCCTAGTATAACTGGGGCCTGTTTCAGTAAGGAGGTTCAAACAACTCAGAGTTTAAACTTGAACTCTGAGTTGATTTACCGAGAGATTAAAAACTCTGAGTTTTCGGTTTCAGAATAGCTGATCTGAGTTGGGTCAATCAACTTCGAGTAGACCAACTCAGAGTTAAGCGCACATCGTGACTATAAAAAGGCATTATCAATGGAGCGCAGACATTACGAGTGAATATGGCAATATCTTATAAAAGAGATCACCATTTTTTTCTCCAGCTGAAATTGATGTTCTCATGCAAAGTTATAGCAAATTTGAGCGTATATATTTGAAAAGAAGCAACCTTCAGTGAAGAAGAGACACTTAGCGTGGGAAAACAGCTGCTCAAGTTAATGCCTAATTTCACTTTTTAAGTATTTAAATATTTAAGTATAATAAAATAAGTAATGTAATTTGTGACGTTTATTATTTTTTTTCTAAACTTTTTTATACATTTATTAGTTTTAAATGATTTAACAGTGCACTTGTGTGTCTGCCTTTTTTATTGATCAAGTGATAGAGGTTAATATAACATTTAGAAGGTAAGCAGTACTAAAAATAATTTTAGAAAGAATAATAATCCCATTAATCTAGTTACATGCATGTCGTAGGTGAATTTAATTTAATTATTTATTAAAAAAGGATAAGCCATTCTCGTACAGTTCTTCTGTGTGTGACTAAAATGTAGGCAATAGCTGTTTCCATCCAAATATATTACATAAATGTATGTCCAAAACTGGAATATTGCATAAAAGATGCGAATAAAATTCCATCCAACGAGTCAAAGAGAAAAAAATCGTCACTTCCTGATTAAACTGGCACCAAATATCAACAGTAAAAACAGAATTTACTGTGGTAGAAGAAGCTGCGTCAATTAATTCTTTATTTAGCCTAATTAATGTACTTGCGCCTCGATGTCAGAAGACAATGCTGAAACACAATGAACACATGGGGGCGTCTGAAGCCATGAGACATGGAGACTCTTGACACGCACCAGACGTTCGGAGGTAATTAATAATATACACCAATACTGAAACAGTAAAGGCATTTTAAAATTTTTTTTGACATGTTACAGTGTGCTCAGCCTGCTGGTTTGCTCATTTACACACATTTTCATTATCATATGATCATGATCTTTTTTTAATGTACATACTGTAATTTGTTCAGTAAAAGTGTTTCCATCGTAGTTTATGCGCACATTTTCTATCGGATAAAAGTTTATCCTACTCAGTTATGCGCGTTTTTTATGCATATTTTAAAAAGTTATGTGCATCATGACGTTTCTATCAATCGTTTTTATGCACGTATCCAAAATAAGCATAAAAATAGGTGGGTGGAAACGCAAGGCTAAGGCGAGAAATACGCTTCATCTTTAAAAAAGGGGAGGAGACCGACAGAAACTCTGAGTTTAGAGAATAAAACCTGCTTCTGACCAGGTTAGATTCACAGAGTAAGTTACCACAGTAACTGACTCTGAGTTAAAGTTACCTTTCTTTCAGAAACAGGCTTGACTTACCCTGCTTTCTCGAGTTTAACAAACCTGCCATTTTGAAACGGAAAACCCAGAGTTTCTCTCATTTCAGGGTTAAAATACTCAGTTTTCAGTTAACCTCCTTTCTGAAACAGGCCCCTGATGTGGTTTTTATTGATGGTTTGACATGTTAATCAATAACCAATAATGGAGGTTTCAATCAGAATTTGGCAATCTGTGTGATCACTGCAGAAAAATTTAGAATTTTAAATTTATTTTGGTTTTATTATCAATGCCAGTTATAAATTATATTAACACTTCAGATTATTTATGTTTGCCTTGAGGTATCATGTATTGAAGAGGTCAAACTCCTCTGTTTATGAGTTTTGTGCAGGTTTGTGTTTGACGTGCTTTGATTTTCATTCCGTATGACATTGACAGCTGAGATCTTACTTTGTGACAAGGACGTCATGCTTGAACAGTCTGACAAGCTAAGCTTCATTGGTTCTGCTTGTTAACATCAGATGTTTATCACTATTGCTCAATCAACACTTAAGGTCTTTGCACACTGAAGTCTGAAATTTCGTATGCATTTTTCCCCATTTATATCCAAAAACCTTTTGATACATATTAATAAATTGATTCTGGAAAAAACGCACAACATTTTGGAGTCAATTTAAGCAGTAGTGCTTTGTTCTACTATCTCTTCTTCAAAGTAAAAAAACGAAAAAGAAATAGGCTGCATATTGTGTTCATCCAATACTGCAAAGAGAGGAAGGAGAGTCCTGAGAGAGTCTAAAGCTGTGCTGAATTATGCCCAAATGGAAAGTTTATTTTAAAAAATTTGTGGAATTTTGATATATTGCTTGTAAAACTTCACACAATTACATACGTAAACAAATTCAGAATAGAGACTGGCATAAAGACATTATAATAGATGGCGGCTGCATGGACTTATCCGAGCAGTGGACCATGAGGTGTCTAGCGTTCTATTGGAATGTCTATTGGCAGTACATCAAAGGTATGGACACACATACACACCAAACAGCAGGAGGGGAGAGGTGAGTCAATAACTGAATCCAGCATATAGGTGTTCCCCTTCGGTTGGGGAACTTCAGTGCCATGAATGGGAGGATTCAGATCAGAAGCCACTTGTCTGGAGAGTATTGAACGGGCCAATGAATGAAATTAATTGGCAGCGTAAGCTTGCGCAGGTGTGCGGCATCTGCAATTATCTCAGCATATAAGCGCACCTGAAGCCAGCAGACGCCATCCTTTTCGCTTCAGATCCTTTCTGAGTGAGTCGATGAGGGTTCCTCTTGCTGATCAGCACTTCAGAGCGAACGAGTGTGTCTCCCGGTCCAGAGTGGGTCTTCGCGGTGGCAGACGGTCGAGCTGGGTTTCTCCCTTGCCTGCGGTTCTTTGGGTCCGGTCCTACAGAGCGGTGCGTATTGTTAAAAAACTTTCCTAAAAGAGCAACACAGTCGTGCAGCACGTCCTTTTCAGGATGGCGCTCCGACTGTGCGTTTCTGGATGCGGGGGTTTCCTGGCTCCGGATGATGGACACGATCACTGCATTGCATGTTTGGGGGTCCAGCATGTTAATGCGGTGCTCGCGGGCGGTTCATGTCGTCATTGCGATGCCATGACCGTTGCACAGCTAAGATCGCGGCTAACTTTCGCAAGAGAGCGAGCCACCCCAGTTGCCTCCTGTTCTAAAAAAGCAGCGGGCGCTCGGGCAGATCTGAGGGTTTCAGCGGGCTCGGGCTCGCGGACCTCTCGCTCCTCACGGCGCTCCATCCAAGCTTCGGGTAGTGGGAGTGATCCGTCTAACCAGATGGTAGCTCTCACACTCGCTGACACCGGAGATCAGATGTCCTCCGCGGCATCGGAGGGTGGGCTTTCACTGTCCGACGAAGATCCGGACCCGCTCGCCCCCTCCGGGCAGGTGAGCGCTGTCAAATCGGATCCTGAAGCGGACATGTTAGCCGTGCTTTCCCGG